CCAAACTTCTTCCTATCACAAGACATGATCAACTATGCACTTCTCTTCAGGAGCAAAATTATATGAAAAACTCACAAAAAACGGGAAATTACAGGAAAGGTGAATGGTATTTGTTTTTTTCCCTTTCTATCAATTAAAGTTTAAGCAGGTTAATAAAAAGCACAATTATAAACCTTTAGTTGACATTGATACAATCCCTTTGTAACTAACTGCTAGTCACCAGTCACTTACAGTAAGTACAGTGGAACATATGTACCCCAAAGAGATGAACTCCTAAACCAAGAACTACTGTACTCTAACGGGAATAGCCTCAGTTCTTGAATGTAAAATGTTCTTAACAAAAACATTCCCCTATCATGCTTTCTGTATTTGCTAAAGCTCACCCACTATAACACAGTCCTTCTGCCTCTCTACCTTATCCCAGCCCCTACCAAATTCCTCTGTAGGGAAAAATTATTGACAAACTTTGATGTGACAGTAAAGATTTCTTTATGAGAAACATTTCAAGAATCACAAAATGTATTTAAAAATTATTCTTTCAGTTATATTAACAGAAACTCAAATCATTTCTTAGGATATTTTAACAGTAACAGCAAAAAAGAAAAAGAAAAAACAAAGTGTCCACCCAGTGCAGTACTTGGTATGTTCTTGTCCTTTATCTCATTTAATTAAAAAGCTGAAAGATCTGAGAAACTTTGGTTTATCTTTCAGCTTAAAACTTAGACATTTTGTCTTGTACTTTTACACTGATCAAGTAACAGAAGCATATCAACATCAAGACCATAGACCTTGTGAAGACAAAATTCAGAACAAAGTGACAAAAGACAAAATTCAAAACAAAGTGACTTAGAGTACCAAGTACTGCAGCACATAAACCCACACCCTTGAGAAAGGGACACCAGAGTTGTGCAGTATATTTGAATAACAAAAAGTCCCTTTCAAAGCTACAGGGTACATAGGTTCCCAGAAGTCAAATCATACATAGCAAATAGCTAACTAACATTTTTTTTTATTAGTGTAAGTGCTTTACCCAGATTGATTTATTAAATTTTCACAATAATCCTACAAAGAAGATACTATCATGATCTCCATCTTACAAAAGAGGAAACTTAGAAACAGAGAAAGTTAAATTATTTGCCCAAGATCACTGGTGGCACTGAAATTTTTAACACAGGCTATCTGACACCAAATGGCAGAATTCTAGTTAACCTATCCACCTACCTTTCACTTAACAAAAAATAAGAGATTGATCCCTCAAACACCAGTCAGGCATATAAACCACGGATGTCCAACTTCTTTCTTCTCACATACCAAGTATATAAAAATCTGGCCCAAACTAAGCTTTGTAACCCATCTTAATATGACTGACATTTTTATATAAAACCTGAATTGAATTTGATTCTAGAAAAGGTTTTTTAAAATGTTCATCTTTTAAACTACAATAAACCTATACTGAGGTGAGATGTTTTCTTTTTCTTTTTTTTTTGAGACAGAGTCTGGCTCTGTCACCCAGGCTGGAGTGCAATGGAGAGCTCTCACTCACTGCAACCTCCGCCTTCTGGGTTCAAGCGATTCTCCTGCCTCAGCCTCCTGAGTAGCTGGGATTACAGGCGTGTACCACCACGCCTGGCTAATTTTTGTATTTTTAGTATAGACAGGGTTTCACCATGTTGGTCAGGCTGGTCTCGAATGCCCGACCTTGTAATCTACCTGCCTCGGCTGCCCAAAGTGCTGGGATTACAGGTGTGAGCCACCGTGCCCAGCCGAGAAGTCTTCTTTATAGACATACTAGACGAATAATCATCTTCCCCAGCCTTCCTCATTCTTCAAACTCTTCTGATTTATTTGTGTCTTTTTTCTGTTTCCTAAGTCCATTATCTCAGCTCATTATGTCTAAAATCACCTACCACCCCATCTCCCACAAATGAATGTAAATCTGGCTCATATTCAAATAACAAAGCTGGAAAGGATCTTAAGAGAGATCAGGTCACATAATCACACTTACCCAGAGGCAGACACACAATCAGGACAACGTGTACAGTGCTCCCTGAAGTGCCCCAAGCTACCAAGTCAGTTACTGTCCAAGGTAACACTTGTAACGGTGAGCACTAGCAGTCCATAGCAGTCCATAGCTTAGTGCTCTCCATTATAAGTGTCCCCTTCCTGTTCCTTTTGTCTTGCTGGCAGGAGGGATGCCAGGTAGAAGACAGTCTAAACAAAGGCTATCTTTTCTACTGGATAAATGGAATTTCAACTCTCTCTTACCCTCCTTTGCTCATAGAAAGGTCTTTGGGTTCATGGTTTATATGACAGCACTTTTGTCAATTTTCTTCTGTTACACTACCTACATTTCAGGTATTAAACCAATAGCAACAACAATAAAAGCATTACTAGTACCAGAAGACTAATAAGGAAGGTACAGTTGTTGGGTTTTAAACAAATAATACCTGAAAGCCTTTACAGGCTTTCTCTGCAATGCTGTGCAGAGTACATTACAAAAATTACTATTGTAATCACTGGATTTGTGGCTCTAATATGTTATATACCAGTTTGAAAATTTACTATCTACTGTAAAGTATTCCCATTCTAACTCTTCATTCCAGAAGACTTTTCAAGGTATACTGTTGAATAAATACACAAAATTGAACAAGAATTTTATTAAAAGAATGACATACTTTATAAATCATATATATGGAGGGAGCAAGAGGCAAACAAAAGGAGAATAAACAAAATGATCTAGAGAGGAAGATCATCTGTGACAGTTTCATGTAGAAAGAGCTTTCAACAGGGCTTTCTGAACACCATTTGGTCTTCTCATAAATCAGCAAACATTCTAAAAAGGTGCCTTTCAAAATTTTGGCCCCTATAAGAAACACACACACACCCTCTCTGAAATAAGATTTTCATAAGCCATTACCTACCCATACTAATTACAATGTGTTGGTTTTTTTTCTAATGCTAGCGATATGTTAAATTTATTTCACAGTTCACTGGTGAATCACAACCCATGATTTGAAAACCTCTATACTAGAAGAATTGCTACATGTCAGAATATAAAAAGACAAAGTTGCTAAATTTGACAATAGTGATAGACTAATCACAACCCAACAGCATCTCAAGGTGATCTGAAACAAAGGTCTACCATACAACAAAAGGTCCAAGTAACATCTGCATTAAGAGTAAGTTTCAAATTAAGAGGAAAGGTAAGAAGGAAAAATAAATAGTTGAGATATTAGAACAAACACATTCAACTCTCATATCCATTTCACGAACTATAACTGTAAAGCCTTTACCAAATATTGGAACAAATTTTCCCAGCATCCAGTATTTTATATGCTACTGTCCTAATCCGATTTTCTACTAAAATTTAAACACTAGCTATAGAGAGTAGGTTAGTCTGGGGACTTCCTGGGGAAGTGACCACTGGGGATCAGTGTCAGCAACATGTCCTGACCCTGGCTGGCTTTCTACCAAGAACGGTGCAAACCCAGGACAAGAAATCTACTACTAAAGCCTCCCAGCCTTTGCCAGCACTTAAACTAGAGGCATCTGTGGGCAACGCAAGGGACGAAAAGAACAGTTTTCTAAGACTGCCAATAATTTCAGCCCGATAGCTTCTTTGACTATTGCCTAGAAATCCTGTCAAGCTAATGTAAGGAGATTATTGGGACTGATCATTACCAATAAGTAACTGAAAAAGGGGCAACATCAGGAAAACAAGGAAAGTAAGGAGATAACTTCAAGGTAATGTTTATTCTTCAAAAACATTATCAAATACTTCTGAATTAGTAAAAACCCTGACACTAGAAGCCTAAGATTTATTACATCAGTAAGAGGTTAGAATAAATAATCTGAAAATCCCTTCCACTGTTGAAAATCTCTAATTATAAGTTTAAATCCCAATATCGAAAACCATCTTTCAGGGTTATTAGAAGGTCAGATGCTCTTTTAGGCATCCCTAAAGGATAATTCCACCCATTAATGAAAAACTTGCAGTGAAGATCACATACCCCACCCCTTCCAAATCAGTGGCTAAACAATGACGAAAAAGACTAAATATTCTTTTTTCAAAATACTACTTCCTGGTTTTACAGATACACACAAATGTTAAAATTTATCAAATTATACATTTTAAATATGTGTAGTATATTGTTACATCATTTTGCCTCAATAAAACCGGTAAAATAAAAATACTATCACCAGCCTTCTATCAACGTAAACATGTTACTTCATTCCAATATCAAAACATCAACATTATAGCCCTAGTTTGTTTGTTTTTTGTTTGTTTGTTTGTTTTTGTTTTTCTTGAGACAGAGTCTTGCTGTGTCACCAGGCACCAGGCACCAGGCACCAGGCTGGAGTGCAGTGGTGCGATCTCGGCTCACCACAACCTCTGCCTCCCAGGTTCAAGCAATTCTCCTGCCTCAGCCTCCTGAGTAGCTGGGACTACAGATGCATGCCACCACGCCCAGCTAATTTTTGTATTTTTTAGTAAAGACAGGGTTTCACCATGGTCTCAATCTCTTGACCTTGTGATCCGCCCTCCTCAGCCTCCCAAAGTGCTGGAATTACAGGTGTGAACCACCACGCCCAGCCTAGCCCTAATATTTTCTAAGTTTCTCTTTTAAATTTATTTTCCCTTTTATTCAAGTTTTATTGTATTCTTCTCATTTTTCGAAGTCATCAATCATTGGAAAGGATAGATACCAAGCTTTGATGAGCACCTAAATTGTCTGCTGCTATTCAAATGACCCGTTACTGCACTATGGAAATAGCTTTCCTTTACAACTTAAATAACAGCCTAAAAATCTGCAGATTCCTTAATGATTTCATTTCCTTCTTCCCATTAGTTAAGGAAATGCATTTCTAGGCCAGATCTATCAATGTGCTACCATTCCATGGTTCAGCATTCATTTTCTTCCCTCATTCTTTATTATGAAGCTATTTGAAATAAAATCTGAAAATAAGGGGAAGGAAGAAAGCCAGTAAGAACTACTCACATCAGATTTAGAGGATATATTCTCCTCCACATCTGAATCATTGGGATCCACAATATCATCAAATGGCGGTAAAGTTGATTTCTTCTTCTCTGATGTCTCACTTTCAATTTTGACCTTTCCCATCTTGACATGAGATTTATCTTTTATCTGTTTTTTGTCAGCAGAACAAGTGAGTATCAGTGGTGGTGCACTAGAAAAACTTTTAAATAAAGCCTCTGAGCTACTCTTTTTCCTTTTTTTGGCTGAGAGTTCTTCAGAATCTGAAATGGGTGGCCTTTTACTAGGAGCCTTCTTATCTTGTCCACTGGTGATGGTGAGTAAGTTACTGTCTGGTTTTGGCTCTTTTGACATGGGTTTAGGTTCCTTGAAGGCCATCTTAGGAACTATTTTCTCTTCTTTCAGTGGTTTATTTTCTTTGGGTTTCTTAGAGGATTCTTTGGAAGATTTGTTGTGATCCCTGGAAGGTTCTTTGAAGGCACTTTTATGTTCTCTGGAGTCTTTAGAAGGTTTTTCCTTGTGCTCCTTCATTAATTTGTGAGGCTTTGAAAAACTGGTACTACTGCTGCTGCTGCTGCTGCTACTGCTGCTGCTGCTGCTGCTGCTGCTGCTGCTGCTGCTACTGCTGCTGCTACTACTGCTGCTGCTGCTGCTGCTGCTGCTACTGCTGCTGCTGCTGCTGCTGCTGGTATGAATACTCCTATTAGGGTCCTGCAAAAAGGGGAGAAGAAAATGAAACTCTCAGAACTAAATAGCAATGAAGAGTCAAAAGAGAACTACATAAAATGATCCTTCTTTGATTGCTCTCAAGCTACCACTAAAATACCAAAAATATTTTAATATAACCCCAAAACCACAATATAACAGGTGAGAATAGTGTATAAGAGAATGATAGTGAGAGTAGGTTATCAAAGAATTTAATAAGGCAAGCTGTTTTCTAAATCATTTGAAGCATTGAGTCTTAAAACATTTCAATTCAACAAATGTTAACAACTGCTTGTCCTAGAAGATTCAAGGATGAATAACAAATGGCCCCACTCTTAATAACTATGATGTATCTATGATTGACAGTTGTTGTAAGCGCCATCTATAAAATGCCGTGACAACCAAAAGAAGGGAACTATTTAATTCTGTTGGGAGCATGGGGAGAAGAATAATTCAAAAATTCATAAAGATGTAACATCTGAATTTGGTCCTGGAGCATATACAGGTGATTACTGGAAAGAAAAGAATTTCCTTAGATACCAGGGACCAGAAGAAACTAAATGAAAAGGAGCAAAGCACAGATTGTATTTGGGGAGCAACACTCATCTACAGAACGAGACTGAGAAGGATGCAGAAAAATAGCCCAGCTTCACCTAGTGAGGTCAGATTACATTAAATTTCAAATGGCTTTGCAATATAAGAAATCATAAGACCCCCAAAAGTAAAGAAAATAATTCTCAATTTTAAACAAAAAGCAATTATTTTTAGGCTGTCTAAAATTTCATCAGTTAAGAACTATATCTCTCATCCACTAGGAAAAAAATAAAAGGAAGTTAATAGAACAAAGATTTTATCTATCCATTAATTGGACTAGAAGGTCTTTGGCAATTACCATATTATGATTATGAGAAAAGAGGTAGTTGCTGGCTATTTCATTTTAAATGTGATAAATTTTTCCACTCATATAAACACATCAGAATGTAAAACCTATATATAATATTTCTGTTTAGGAACAAAATCTAAGTCCATACTTACCATACTTATGAACCTCTACCATTAATAGTAAGAATAAGAAACAGAGTAGATCCTGGACATGCAAAAATCCACATCAATACTAAAAGAAGAGCTCTTTCTTGCTTACTTCCACCTCCTAATGGAACCAAAGACAAATAAATGTCCAAATTTTCAACTCGAATTTATATCTTCAGGCTTGCTTACTGTCTTTCACCTCTAACTCACCCACTTAAGCCCAATGATATATAAATCAATCTATATTCCTTAAATATCTAGCATGACACAAGACAGATAGTAAGCAGGGGCTATGTTTTTCACTAAAATGAGCAATCTATTTATTGGGTCTATGCAAAAACGACACACACAAAAAATACATAGGTATATGGATAAGCATCACAAAGTAATAGTCAAATGAAAATTATTGTTCTATATTAGTAGAAATATATTTTTTGGTTTCTTAATAAATATTTTGTCTTATTTGCTCAACCACAAAATGACATATTGCACAATTTATTTATTTTCTGAAGTCAGTGGTTTCAAAATTATAAAATGGATGAAGTTACTAAGCAAAGATTTGTTTTTATCCATCAAACTAGATAATTCCTTAGATAACATCATAATCTGAGATTTAAAAGCAAAATTCAAAAGATAGGATTCATATTACTGAAACTTCATTATTTTATAAATTCTATTACATGACATTTCCTGCAATGTTAAGCAATACATGAATAATTAAAATAAAGCATAATGTACAAACTAAATTAAGGAAGAACATTTTGAAATCTAATATCCTTGAGTTTTTTTTAATCGGCTTGTTGACTCACTGAGTTTTGACAATTTCCAATCAGTATTCTAATTATGGCTCTAGAATACCCAAGTGTCACTGTTTAATATTCAACCTATATGAAGTATTACACATATTTTTAAAGTAAGTTTTAAAGCATAGAATTTTTAACCCACCAACATATTTCTACTGTTAAGTATTCAAAAAACAGCAACATTCCGTAACAGGAGGAAAATAAAACCTCTGTATAGGTCCTTCCATGATTTATTTTTAAAATCCTTCTTTAGAACAAACTGGAATTCTTAAATTCAGGGTACCTATTGGTATCTGACGCAGCTTCTTGTATCATAAAAAGGTTAAATTCCTTTTTTAATTACATGCATATAGTGCAAGGTACAAAACTCCAGAAATACATCTTCTTGTAACGTTTTACTTCTCACGTTGGTCTGAGTATTTAATGTCTACTGTTACCTTTTTAGCCACTCTACAAATCATGGTACAAGCAAGTGACCCAGCCATTCTTGTTCCTTCCTTTTTTGTAATTACGACCTCAAAAATTTTTAAGCTAAGAGAACAAAAGTTAAGAGGACAAACGCGTTCCATAACAATGTCTTAAACAAATAAAATTTAAAGGGAGAGAGAGCAGTTTTTAAGGCAGCATTTTATTTGGCCTTTACCTGTGACAAATGTCAAAGTTCAAATATATTGTCACCAGTCTCCATGTTTGTACATGTAATAAATGTAAAAACACTGGCTCAGATACACAGCCAGGCATTAAATCACTGACAAAGAATAAAAGCTTTCACTGATTTTCAGCCTATGTCTATACATGTATATAGATACCTATAGTTATACCTATCTATAGATAGACTAATAGATATAAATATGGCTCTTGTCACTGGCTTTTTAAATTTTTCACTGAACCATTAACCCCAACAGTAAGTGCCACTGAGCAGCACAGACTAATTACCATTCGATGTGACGTTTACATGTGTTGTATAATTCAAAATCTCTTTGCCTGAGGCTGATTAGGACAAGCTGAATATCAAGCGATCTAACAGAGAGCACGTGTGCAAAATTTAAATCTCAAATATTTAAGGCAAATGATTGTTTAAAAATATACATATATTTGCACTAATTTTACAACTTGTGACTACAGGATACAATATTTACTCTCATCTATTCAGATTGTACTAAATGCTTCCTTGTTTTAATTTTTTGGAACAGAATGAGTGCCTTTAATGTTTAATCTTTTCTAATACTCCTTGTCAGCAACTCAGGTAGAGGACTTAAGGAAAAAATCACAACTACTGGCCAGAAGAAGGTTTTCTGATTATATGTGGCTTTCAGTTTCCGTGTTACCTCCATGTCAGCTTCTAAGAACCACTGACAACTCATAGCTGATTCTTGGCTCCTGTTTCTTCCCACTGACTATCCCTCTTATTTTTGGTTTCTGTCCTATTTTAACTGGCTTCTGTCTTGTGCAAGATTTTCAGATCCATCATATTTTGTTCACTGAAATTTGCATACAGACAAGTAAACTCTCAGAACAGTTTTACTTCTCAAAACTAAAACTCTCGTAGTAGTTTATTTGTTCAAACTGCAGTTATACAAGGACACTTCCTAAAAATTGTAGTGTGGTCCAAGAAGTTACGCATATATAGGGATAGGAAAAACCATGATAGTCAAAGATAAGATTTGAAAATAAAAATCTCCTCTATAATGTCATTAAACACACAATGAATAACACAGAGGGAAGACATGCCATCTGAAACTACAAAGAGCTTTGTGCAGTGGCAGTATTGTAGCCAATGAGATTTATGCAAGGCACAATTACTGCTAATTGAAGCTACGAGTGGAGTATTAAAATTCAGAATTCTGGGGCTGGGGGAGGCCTTGAATTTGATTTAACTTTCCCACTTCAATTCCAAATCCAACCCCATTTACCTCTCTTGAACTAGTCAGCTCGGGAGTCAGCAGGCAGTGGCCTGAAGAATGTAGCCACAGGCTTATGGGCATCTTGAGAAAAATAACTGGTGCAGGATTTGCTCTGCCTGATCCAAAAGAGTTGGTTTGTTTTTTTTAGAGATGGGGTCTTGCTATGTTGCCCAGGCTGGAATGCAGTAGCTATTCACACACATGATCACTGCATGATACAGCCTGAAACTCCAGGGCTCAAGTGATCCTCCTGCCTCACTCTCCCAAGAAACTGGAACAACAGGTGCATGTGCCACCATGCCCAGCTTCCAGAAGAGTTTCACACATAGGTAACTACATGCAAGTATGGCCAGCCTTCCCCGGACTCAGAAGGCACTTAATATAGGAAGACCGTCTGTTCTTAGGGCTGGGAAATGTAAGGAGATCAGAAGGAAGGCAGAGTCCTCTAGGTGTAATAAACAAGAAATAGATAATATTCCTGCTGCTACTATGCACGTTGAGATGCCTGTACCTTTCATCACTTACAGAATTACAACAGCCTAAAGTCCCTAACAGCTTAACCTCAATCCAAATGCGCATAGAACTGACATACTTAAGGGTGGGAGGGAATAGGAAGAAGCAGATCTAACAGATTTTCTGGAGGAGAAGGATGAAATACTGAGGTCAAAAGCAGTACGACCACTTCAGGAGAATCAAGTGTAAAAAACAACTTCTAGAAAAAAATGCTTAAAAACTAAAATTTAAATATTTATATTCTCAAGCTCAATAATTCAGTAGATAAAGGAGAAGACTGATGCTAACTGGGAGCATAAAAGATCAAATAAAAGAAATCTCAAAGCACTAAGCAAAAATACAGAGGTGAAAATCATCATGGGAAAAGAGAAGAGCCTTGAATGGATCAAGGAAACAAAACATACAGTCATAAGAAGAGTTACAGAAGGAGGAAACAGAAAACACAGAAGAGGCAATAATTAAAGTAATATAGAAAAAAATGTCATAAACTAAAGAGAGGATTGAATTACAATCTCACAGGGCTCTCCAAGATCCAGGCAAAGATAATGAGAAATGACGCCCAGGCCAAAAAACAACAACAAAAAACAAACAAACAAAAAAAAAAACAAACAAAACCAAAACACTACAATTCCTATACCTTAAAACTAAAAAAGAAAAAAAACCTGACAAGCATCCAGAGAGAATAATTCCTTAAAACTGAATAAGAATTAAATTTACATTGTACTTCTCATCTGTAATACTGAAATAGAGAAGAAAG